CCCCCCCCCCCCCCCCGCATACTGATTGTTTTAGCTTAGAGAGCAGCAGGTACAGGAAGAGGCTTGGCTCTGATACCTCCTTGTTGGCTAGGAGTCCAGACCCTCAGAAGAAGAGAAGGATTCCCTCTGGTCCCTTCCCTGAGCTTTCATTGGCTAAACTCATTGCAGGAAGTGAGGCTGAAGTCTGTAAACTCACCTGGACACTTTTTGTCATACATCATTGTCTTCTATTTGGTCCCATTCAACATTCCAAAGAGAACCATTTAAAATTCATTATCTGGTCTATAGACCCAAGGAATTTATCCTTGGCCACTGTGTTTCTACAAGCCCACTGAGTGCCCCTAGAAACAACTGACTATTCCTCTCAAAACTGTCTATATTCTCCATCCTGCCCCTCTATGGTAAAGGGGTACATAGGCTTCTGAGCTGTGGGGGGTGGTTACACACTGTGATCACTTCTGTGAATCAGAAGTTTGTGTCTCTTTTTCTCCTGTTCTTTCTGTTTATTTTCAGTTCATTTCAGTGAACTGTCAGAGGGTGAAGGAAACTCTTTCCTTTTGCTCCTACTCTTCTACCGACAAATTAGCAGAGATCCTTTTTCTAGTCTCCTGCAATCTTTCTGTTAAAAAGCCTTAGACAGGTGTGTGCTTTATTCACTGGTACCTAGGAGGAGACAGAGCAAATCTATACCATCTCTCTAATTTTCTTCTCTGGTAATGGTGGCAATTGTGGGTCTTCTAGATCCTTTATTTATCACCCTTCCCCTCAGACAAGCTGTCTCCCTTGGTGTCTCAGGTTTGAATGAGCATTTTACTTGCCTGCTCTTATAATATCAAAGAACTTATATACAATTCTAGGAGAGAGTTTTAATCAGCATCTCAGATTAGACAGAACACACAAAGCAAGGCTCTCTCTAAGCTTCTCCTTTTTATAATCTAAGGAGTGGCGCCCCTCGCTTGGTGCCCAATGGGGCCATCCTTTTGATTACAGGTTAGGGGAACTAAAATTTATTGGGGAAAAAGTCTAATTTTCCAGCGTGTTGGCTCATAGGCTAGAGAGAATCTTTAGGGATTAAACAATTCCCAAGTAACAAGTACATGGACTGAAACCAAATTTTATCTGTATTTCAGCTTCAGGTGTGGCTGCCACCCTCTGGAAAAGGATTTTTATGGGAACAGGCAAACATCCCTAAAAAAAAAAAAAAGTCTAATGGCCCCAGATCTACATATGGAGAAATAACTGGAACAACTTAAATCACTATGTTCCTAAGACTTTAAAGTTCTATTAATAAAGGCAGAGTCAGTCAAACACAAAAGTATAGTGTAACTCAAAAGTGAGTTATAAGGCTATTTCCCAGGACTTATTCTCCATCTCCAGATTCAGACACTCATTACGATACCTTGCGGGTATGTGGTAGTTATCAGCATTACCTGACTCATCGACTCTCATTTTTTTAGTAGGGCTGTCACAATTCTCATCATCAGACATTTCCATTTCTTCTTCACGACGGATGCCCATGAGCTGCTCACTTTGAGCGTTTCGGAGCTCCTGAAAGCAGAAGATACATGACTATCAGAGTCATGGACACAGCCATCCTACCTCTTCCCACTGGTCTTTGGGTATATTAAGACTGACATATCAATGTTCAGAATCTGAAGCTTGGACCCAAGCATCATTTCACCTAATCTGTGATGAAGTTCTAAGGGGGCTAGAGTAATAAAAAAAAAAAAAAAAGGTTAAAAGCTTTGGTGTCACACTTGAGATAAATCCCTAATCACCAAGGCCTCGTGACAGGCCCTTTCACAAATTTTTAAATCTCTCTTCAGTCTCTATTTCCTCATTTGTTAGAAAGGGGGGCATTAATAATCTAGCAGGGCTGTGGCAAAGTTTACATAGAAATACCTATTACTTAGCTAGCACAGCTACTGGTAAGGAACCTGAGCAACAGAAGTTTAAAAGAGCCTAGTCTATCACTGGCCCTGGGGTAACTTTAGGAACATTCTTAGCCTCAATTTGTTTTCTGGAATAATTTGATGCTACGAGTTTTGAGGATGAAATGAGAAAATGCAAATACGAGTCTTAGCATCACTCTAGACACCTGGTGTGCTAAGCTGATGATACTGAGCTATTTTCACACGAACGTAGTGCCTTGCATGTATGTATGTGCCTGTGTGTGATTACACACACGTGCACACTCACAACATTCAGATATCCAAAGTTTAAAATTCTAAAGATAGTAGGGAACAAAATAAAAACAGATGTTTCTCATTTTGGGTTTCACGTTATCACGTTGGGGCTATGGTTTTTGTGGTGATGGCTGATTGTTTCAGCATTGCTTTTAGAGCCTACTTTCTCTACTAATGAGGGGCGTGGCTGCAATCAAGTCATTCAGTTTCTTCGAGCCTTTTTCCATTCACCCATAAGCAGGGGATAATAATAATACAAGGCTGTTTGAATACAATAGTATACAGGAAACCTCACTGAATAAAGAATTACACGTTAAATTTTTTACTACTGTGTCTCAAATCAAGACATTGTAATCATTCCCTTTAAATAATTACATCATTATTTTTTCCCAAGATGCATGTTATATATTGTGACTCCTCATTCATTCTGTCGTCTTACATGTATTGTCCTCGAAAAGTCTTACAGGGAAAAGTCTCCATTATTCTATTTTCCTTATTTAAATTGGAGCCTCAATAAAAGTCAAATTGTTAAAACAATAAATTAATTTACTACACTTAATTTATTAGTGGCATGACTTTAAACATTGTTCCATTGCCCATCATCCCAGATGGTTGGTCCTCTCAATTCTTTGCTCCCCTTAGCTCTTAGAATTTAACTACACATGATGGAAAGGAAATTATTGCTAACAGTATTTGGTCACTTCTGCACTCTGGGAATCACAATTGCAGAGGACAGGAAAGAGGGAAGGCAGAGAGGCAAGGTCCTGGGAGGGGCCATCACAATGCCTGAGAGGCCCAGGGATGACAGACAACACCTCCTTATGGGACCAGGCCACCTAGAAGAAATAAGTGCCAATTCTGCTTTAAATAACATCATTGGATCTTGGAGGTGATGTCACCCATGATTGGTGGGGAGAAATTTGGGTGGTGGACAGCTAATTTTTTTATTGACAAAGAATCCAACTGCCCAGAGGGGTGGCTTGCAAATACTTAAAACAAAGAAAAGTCAGGTGGAAAGAATAACAAGGCTCAAAGGGCCTGTTGTTTAGTCCCTACATTAATGACAAACTGTCACACCACAGCTGTTTTTGTGGGGAAGGGTGGCAGAACAGGAAAACATGGGGTGGGGGCGCTGAGGGTGTTTCCACAGGGTGCCTCTGTATCAGCTGTAAATCACTAGTACACTTTAATAAATCCGTAGAGGTGCTGCAGATAATTAACAGATGCTGTACATGTGAATGTGGGGGAAAAAATCAAGCCAATTATCAAGCTTATATGCAACTGAGAAATCATCCACAATGTCAAATTACCAACTGGTATTTAATCAATTAAGCGACATGTAGGAGAGAAACTCAAAGGTAATTTAGAGTTCCATGTCTTAATGTAAACCTAAAGAGGTAGCAGAGTGGCAGGAGGCGTGAAGCCCTTTTACAGGTGGACCTTTTGGACTGCATTCTACCCGTCCCTCTGCAGGGCACATTTCCACTTCCAGGACCAAGCAAAGCAAGCAGGCTTCCTTAGACCAGGGCTAGAAGCCCTGAATGTCCTGCTCTGGACAGCCCCAGTCTGGGGGGAGGCAGGAATAAGGGATGGTGGTGGGGGAAGTCAGACATGACAGAAGGCATGATTTAGATCAATATCTCTATCTGCTGACCTCCCATGCCAATAATGGTCTTTTCATGCCCATGTTTATTCAATACCATGCTACCTGCCTTTCTCTTAACATTTCTTTTAAAATTTTTGGCTTTTATGTGAAGGAAAAAAATTGTATACTGATCATTCCCAAATCTGGATCATAGTTTATAGATTCCAATCTGTGTTTTCATCTGCATCAAAAATAGAGGACTCTGTCCCTCTTGAAAATAACCCTTGACTTGGGTCTCAATTCCGTTTTCAGGGAGAACATCAGGCAAGTGCCCTTATTTTGGGGGCCCTGAAAAAACTCATGAGAAATCCCATCTCCTCCTTGCTCATAATCCTAAATAGAGGAACAGAACTGTATCAGTCACCAACCACCTTCTTAGGCACTAGTGAACAAAATTTTTAAAATGCCCTTAACAATAAATTGCACTAGCATTTTAAGTGTCCCATTATTGTGAAGTCATTCAGTATTCACCATAATAATGGTGATAATAAAGAATCTATTTGGTATTCATGTGGATGTTACATCCTGTGCCACTGGTATTCAACTGTAATTTAGCATTAGTAAATGAGCACTTAAAATGCTACCCAGATGATTGATACCATAGTACTTTGTGGTTCCTCAAACTCTTTGTGAAACACTTATTTTACAAGTGTGAGCCAACATCATTAAATAAATAAATCTTACCTTCTATAAGTTTGTGATTTTTGAAAGAGGGGAATATCATTTTGAGAACTTTAATATTAACATGCTAGAGATGAAGAGGCATCCAAATGAAAAACATTCTTTCACTTACAAAAAAAAAAAAAACGAAGCAAACAAAGACAGTATACTTACTTTGAAATTACAGGTTCAAAGCGTACACTACACTGTGGAGTTAAAAATAACAGCTGGATGACCAATGACTAATGTGACATTTTGGTCTGTCTAGGTGGCAAGGTGGGCTCCTTCCCTGAGGATAGATACTCACACTTCACACATGCACTGATGCTGAAGGGCCGACATCACACCCTTGTGACGTTTGCTCTGGGGAGATGTGTATAGAACCTGATGGCTTGCACAGGGAACTGACACTGCTTGTGATGAGAAGACATGGATGGAGAGGCATACCTGCCATTTCTAGCCCAAAGAACAAACTGTCATCTTGAAGAACACTGGAAAAAAAATTGTACTTTTGTCCTATGTTAAGTTTACACTTTTCTTCAAACTAATTCGTTAGGAAAAATATCTTGGCTTACTTCTGAGTTCTGTACTATGAATGGGAAAGATTCTCTTCTCCCTTTGTAGGGGAGAGGAATGTTCTAAGTGTTAAGTCGGCTGCTCTTCTTGGGGAAGGAACACGTCTGAGCTGACAACAAGACAGGACAACAGCAGGAGGACTGCCCACTGTCACAAAAACTGTAGTGGCTGCAGCCACACTATTCTCTGCCAATCCAGCTGTGTGATGGTGGTTAAAAAGTAAAAATAAAATCACCAACCTCAGAATGCTTTCGCCAAATGTCTATGTTCTTGCGCTGAGCTTTCGAGAAATGGTCCCAAGCTTTTTGTCTGGTGGAAGCGTTGAAAACGGCCACAATCTGCTCAACTTTGGTGAACAAGGAAGTCAAACAAGACAAGTAATTTATGTTGTGATCACTATAGGGAAGCAAAGCAAAGACACTAGGAGTCTATGGATGATGTCACAGTAGCTACAACATCATCAATATCCATCCAATTTGTGCCTTTATGTACTTACATTTTTAGCAAGGTTGGGGATGTCTCCCTTCAAGTCTGTCTCCATAACTTAAGGTTAAAACAAATTCCAAATATGACTGGCAAAAGGTCATGGAGATCTACTTCCAAATGTTTTCTGGCTCTTGTTTAAAATGCGATTTAGTAGGTCTATATACCTAGGTCTATAGATATATAGACTCCGTTATTGGCATATGAATAAAGATAAAGTAATGCCTGTTTAAGAGCTTAGAAGGGAAGCCAGGGAGGAGTAGCTGAATGAGAAGAGCCAAGCATATATCATTTCTTCTTTTGGTCCCATCTTAAGGACTCCATTGCAGCCCTCTAAAGACATTACCGTGTCCAGGTTCCAAGGTGGGAAAATGAATAGCTGTGTCATGGCTTCCCTCAACCTCAGGGACTGTTTTCCTCCTTATTCTTGTTTCTCCCCCCACTGCATCCACTGCAGCCAGCCCTCCATCCCTCTGGCTGTCCCAGGAGCCATCGCCTCCATGTCAAGACAGACCAAGGCTCACCCAACTGGCAGCACTGCCATGCAGGTCTGATTTCAACACCATATGCTGCCTCCATAGTTCTTCATCATGATCATATACCATTCTCTGTTATTCTATTATCGTGTTAATAAGGATCCCCACAATCTGGCTCTCAAATCTCTTAAAGTTCTAAATCTATTACCTTGTCTTCGTCTGGCACTTGTGTTGCTTCCAGACATGGTACTATTGGAATGATATGGGTGGAGGGGTTGTGATGAGAATTACATAGAGGAAGGGATAGAACTTAGTAGTAGGTGTTGCGGGGGGGGGGGGCAACCAAATATGGACTCAATATTGCTTAAATAGGTATTGATCTAGTAAGCATGGGATTAAGGAAACTAGAGTACTGATTTAATCACATGATTAAATCAGAACTTCTAAATATTTACTTAGAAGGGCACAGTTCAGACTAGGTTGTCATGGGTGTTAACATCCTATCGACATAAATCTTTTACAAGTGATTCCCAAGGCTCTATTATTTAAAAAAGGGCATCAAAGCTCTTCCAGAACTTCTAGTGTCTACAGAATGTCAGAGAGTAAATAATAATCTTCACAGAAGCACAATACTCAATGTCTTAGTTTAAAAAATTAGCACATGAAATAAATAAACAGAGAAGGAAATAAACACCACTGGCACTGTGAATATCTTTACAATGCTAATAATTACTTCTAAATGTATGGGGACATTTATGTTTACTGTTTTCTACTTCAGGAGAACCTCAGCAGTAGACCTTTTTATTTAATAAACTGTCATCATTTCACACGATGAATTTCTTTTACTCAATTTTAATGTGAGGATTTGCCACCAACTGGGCTCACACAAGTCCCTGAGCTCATGTGGCTTCTTTCTCGAACCTCACCTGGAGGAACTGGCACTGCTAGTTGAGCTGCTGTAAGTCCAGGCCTTTGCCTGACCACCACCCCCAGTGTGTAGCATGGCTGGTGAGGAAGATAATCTGCTTAGCTAGACTATCTGGACTTTGTTTGCTTTGTCTGCCTGCAGGCTGGGGACCTAGGGATTTCAGTTGCCTTTTGCAGGGGCAACAGTTGCAACAGTCAACTGGCAGGGGGTGATCATGAGATTACTAAATAAAGAGTAATGGGGAAGATTTAATAGCAGAACTCTTTGGCATCATTTAGAAGAGGAAGAAAAATGGTATCCTGAGAGAAGAGCTGGAGAGGAAGGAGCAACAAAGGTTGAGGTTGATTATTGGGTGGTGATAGTCAAAATTCTGCTGTTAGTCAGAGAAGGCTCTTAATAAACAAGACACAGCTGGGTGTAGTGGCACACGCCTATAATCCCAGCAGCTCAGGAGGCTGAGGCAGGAGGATTGTGAGTTCAAAGCCAGCCTTGGCAATTTAACAAGGCCCTAAGTAACTTAGTAAGACCCTGTCTCAAAATAAAATATAAAAAAGGGGGTGAGAATGTGGCTAGGCGGTTAAGCACCCCTGAGTTCTATCCCTGGCACCAAATATATATATATATGAGAAAGAGAAAAATATGTATGTTAAAAAATGTGTGTGTGTTGGAGGGGTGAAGGCAAGAGAAACCAATAATGCATATAGAGGAGTAGATAAGAGAAAGCACTTATTAGAAAGACCCAGTGAGCTCAAGATGCACAGGTTTAAGGGTAAAAACAGATCAACTCAAGCATGTAGGTGTATAGTGATATATCAGTTAAAACACATAAATACTCATTTATGTATACTATACATCTTGTATACATAATCTGGAAGTAATTTTATGCAATGTTTTAAATATTTATGTGTATGAAATAAAGTTCATTGTGTGGAATTTTGCTTGTGGTGTCATGTTGTTATTCAAAAGTTTTAGAATCAAGAGTATTTGGATTCCAAATTTTCAGATTAGAGATGATTAACCTGTGCTATATTTCTCTGGCTTTCTGGAAGCTGACCAACATAGTATTTTGCAATCACCAACTGATAACTGGCAGACTTATAAAGGAATCTTGGAAAAACAAAGGTGGTGAGGATAGAGGGAAATTCCCTGGATCCCCAAAGGTATAAGATTTGTTTTTCAGGTGTGTCAGTTAAGTAATTCACTGCATATAAAAGTTCTCATTTTAAAATTGTGTCACTATTGTTATTCTTTCTATATTAAAAGAAAATGGTACGATAAAAGAAAGGGATTCATGTTGAACCTAATAGTAGTAATCATCATATTTTAATTTACGTGGGCTAAATAATATATTTTTACATAATGATATTATTAACAACAAATACTAGATTTCAAAATAATATGTCAAGAAGGATCATGTTCTATAAAAACTATAAATAAAATTGTGATATAATTTCAAAGAAAACATGATTACTATATTCTAGGGCATAAGTTCTATCCATCCATTCATCCATCCATCCATCCAACCATCCATTCATTCATTCAACAAACATCTGAGATTTTAACTGTTAGAAATATATGATTAAGACATAGTTCTTACCCTTGATGAGATCTTAGTCTTTGGGCAGAAAGAAAGGGAAGCAGATAATTACCCTCTACAAGAGAGGTCTGCATGACTGCTTTGGGGACACAGAGGAGAGAGTAACTAAGTAGGTAGGTGGAATCAGGATCACTCCATAAGAAGGCAGTATTTTTGATAGGCCTTAAATAGTGACTCAATGACTACTCAGCAGAGAAATAAAGGTGGCCCCTCTAAGGCTGGAGTTATAAAAGGACTTCATATGAAAGCCCTTAGTAGGGATGGGGCTGATGCTGGGTGAGAATTAATTAGGAAGAACCATGAATGCTGATCAAGACTCTGAACTTTATACTATGTTCAGGGGAGACACATGCCAGGAGGATTTGCTTAGGAGAAATAATGAAGGCTTACATTAAGGCAGAGGCTTTGAATGGAGGGCAGAGCGAATACTCATTGGACAGGGAGCAGTGACGGAACAAGGGGCTCACTGGCTCTGGAGGAGGAAGGGAGAAGGGAGATCACATGACTCCAGCTTAGGAAGAACATCAGAGACCAAAAGAACAAGCACAGAACAAGGACTGAGAAAGATGTGAAATTTGCTTTCCAACCTGTTTGCTCACATATTCACAAATCCAAAAGACAGAAAAATAAAAATAGTGCAACCCAGCATAGGTTTGAAAATGCTCTTACTGTACTCATATGGCCCAGTTTTCTTCTCTCATTTCTGCAGACTGACCCTAAACCAGCCATTTGTCTTGCAAATGAAAGTTCATGGGCACACAAAAAGACTCTGGAAGAGTGCTTGGATCGGCATGAATTCATTATCATTAAGGGAAAACCACCCCAAACAGAATGCCCTAATGAATGTGATTCAAAGGCATGTTTTTAAAGCCATAAATCAGATGATGTCACAGGAAAAGACCATACACTGTTCACTGTCTCCAGCAGGGAACACCAAAGCGGAAGTCCATGAATTAAACTACGATTTACTACTTCTCTCATATAACTCATATTGCTTGCTCTATGCACAATAAAGTCACGAGTAGTTACTGTTACCTTCAAAACTCTACTTCTCAGAAAAGAGATAAATGGCAAACCAGATGGCATTGGCATTTGTTCAAAAAAGCAGCTTTCAGAAAGTTGTGCTATAGGCATAACAAATTCAGATCACCCCTGCCCAGTTCCTTCACTACTCCAGTGGCTGGAGGGCCCCATATGATCCTGTATCAGATAAAAAGCATGAATCCTGTTTTGATTGCTACTTATTTATTCAAGAAAGTATAGTCCAAAGCTTTGAAATATATCAACAGAAAGAGCTCTCAGTCAGAAAATTTAAATTTACTCTTCATACCTTGCAAATCTTTCCTCCCAAATTCTGTAAGTGTTTTGCCTAAATTAGGTTGTTTGAGGAGCATGAGAAAAGTGATCAATTCTTCAGAGTGTCAGCCTTAGCTGCCATACTAGGGTCCCCAGTACACCCAGCAGGTTAAAATGGGAAGGATAAAGAAAGCCTCCATGAAACTGGTAAAGCACAGTGTATAGCTGTAAATCCCTTCTAGAGTGTTCATTAACTCATGCATGTGTATGTGTGGAGACACAGCTATCCACACACCACATACACATATACATCATATGTACACATTACTGCACATCTCTTGCTTGATAGAGGAATGTGACTAACTCCCTTGAAAAGCACTTGCTTTTAGTCTTCTTAAGGAAGGGAAGATCAGAACAGGACATCTACTTGTGCAGAAACAGACCACATTTAAACAGGCTCCTGGGAAAGAGCAGGGCACTCAGGCAAATCTCAGATTTGGGGGCTTTACAGAGCCCCTGAATTTTCAGCTGTATGCACAGAAGCATTGGAAGTGTTCAAAGAGAAA